TTAGAAGTTCCTCATGAACATTTTGATGTGAATAGAGCAAGTGAACCGGTTCAATTAAAGCGCGGGAGGCCTATAGGATCAAAGGATAAAAATCCCCAAAAGAAAAAGAATTGTGGAGTAAAGGTTCCTGATGAACCGATGACATTTCCGAACAGGTTCTTGTAGAACCTGATAAAGAGGTTCGTCAAGATGACGAACCAGAGACAGAAAAATTTGAGATCTCCATCTCCTTCGCCCAAAGTGGAAAAATATGGGCTAGAAGTGAAATAGATGATGATGAAATGTTCTCTTTTTCTGTAGCTAAAGAGATCGATCATGAAAATGATGATCCAGATCCAATTTCCGTGTCAGAGTGCCAAAATAGGCGGACTGGGAGAAATGGCAAATGGCCATGAAGAATGAAATATTCTCTCTCAATAAACGGACTGTATTCGGACCGATAATCATTACACCAAAAGATGTAATGCCGGTTGGATACAAATGGGTTTTTGTAAGAAAAAGAAATGAGAAAAACGAAGTCACAAGATATAAAGCTCGTCTTGTGGCTCAAGGTTTTTCTCAAAGACCGGGGATAGATTATGAAGAAACATATTCCCCGGTAATGGATGCAATCACCTTCAGGTACTTAATGAGCCTAACGGCCTCTAATAATTTAGAGATGTACCTGATGGATGTTGTGACTGCATACCTATATGGCTCACTTGATAGTGAGATATATATGAAAATTCCTGAGGGATTTAAGATCCCAAGAAGGGTCAAAGATGCTGAAGCATCTAAAGAGCTTTGTTCGGTCAAACTCCAGCGATCACTTTATGGATTAAAACAATCCGGCCGCATGTGGTACAATCGCTTAAGTGAATACTTGTTGAGTAAAGGTTACGTCAACAATGCGATTTGTCCATGCGTGTTCATAAAGAAATCCTCAACGGGTTTTGTGATCATTGCTGTGTATGTTGATGACCTGAACATGATTGGAACTCAAAAGGAGATTGATGATGCAAGAACTCATATGAAAGATGAGTTCGAAATGAAAGATCTTGGAAAGACAAAGTTTTGTCTTGGGCTCCAGATAGAGCATTTCCAAGATGGAATATTTTTGCATCAATCAAATTACACCAAAAGGGTGTTAAAGCGCTTTTATATGGATAAAGCGACTCCTTTGAGTAGTCCAATGGTCAATAGATCGCTTGATGTTAACAAGGATCCATTTCGACCTATTGAAGATTCTGAAGAAATGTTAGGTCCTGAAGTACCTTACATGAGCGCCATCGGGGCACTTATGTATCTTGCAAATTGCACAAGACCAGATATAGCTTTTGCTACTAATCTGCTTGCAAGATACAGCTCATCGCCTACCAGAAGACATTGGAACGGAATAAAGCATATATTCCGTTATCTTCAAGGTACGATTGAGTTTGGATTATATTATTCAAGAAACCCCGAGGTTGGTTTAGTTGGTTTTGCAGATGCTGGCTACTTGTCTGATCCGCATAAAGCTCGATCGCAAACCGGTTATGTTTTCACATACGGTGGAACCGCGATCTCTGGCGTTCCCAAAAACAAACTTTGGTTGCAACGTCTTCAAATTATGCGGAAATCATTGCTCTCATGAAGCATGTAGAGAGTGTATGGTTGAGATCTTTGATCCAACATATACAAGAAGCCAGCGGAGTATCTACAAAGAAAGAGCCAACAACCATCTACGAAGACAATTCTGCATGTGTCACTCAACTCAAAGAAGGCTACATCAAGAGCGACAGGACAAAACACATCCCTCCAAGATTTTTCTCCTACACTCAAGAACTCGAGAAGAATCAAGAAGTGGATATTCAGTATGTTCGCTCAAGTGACAACGCAGCTGATCTCTTCACAAAGGCGCTTCCTACTACAGTGTTCAAGAAGCATGTTCATAGTATTGGAATGCGTCGTCTACAAGATTTGTGAAGAGAAGACTATATCTATTTTCAGGGGGAGTTTTTTCGCGTACTTTTTTTTTCTCATGGTTTTTATCCCAATGGGTTTTTCTATGTTAAGGTTTTAATGAGGCCGCATGCATCTTCACAGAAATGGATAATTAAGAGGAAGTATTATAGAGGATAATTATCAACATTCTCTCACCTATTACTCACCACCTTAGTCATCACTATATTTTATTACTTTTATGTAAATATCTTTCTTTGTAACCGACATACACTCCTATAAATAGGAGTTGTTTTCTTTTGTTGTAAGTACACACAGAAAACCAACGAAAGAGTTAGAATAAAAGTTGTTCCTCTCTCTCTCTCATTCTTTATTTCTGACCCCACCACTCTTTCTTATTATTAAATAAGTAGTTTATAACATGATAAACTTATTTAACAAATATTTATTGTTTCCGGCAAAAAACAGTAAGCGAAAATTCGGCTGCGACGAGAAATGATCATCTCCGTCTCCATTGTTGCATGATTGCATCATCCCTTTCTCTTCTCCATTCGTCTCATCAGAAATTCTCCGTCGATCTCTACTCGTATCAAAATCCTTACCGGATATGCCCGATCGTTTGCTCCGGCGTCAGAATGGACAGAGCTACGCGGCAGCGGCAGATCCGCCACAGAAGCTAGGGTTTCTCTCGTTCTCGCTCTCGCCTCTCAGGCTTCCTCTGCCTCTCAACGCCGTAAATTTTCCGTCTTCCTTAATCTCCAACTGCTTCTATTGCCGCAATTTGAAGTCCTTCAATGTCAACTCTCTGTTTGGGTTTTGTTTTCTAACAGTCTTGGCTGATTTGGCGGTGGAGACTGCGAAATACGTGTTTCCGAAGAGATTCAATAGCTCAAATCTGGAAGAAGCGTTGATGTCTGGTTAGTTTGTTAGCTTATGATTGTTCATGATTTGGGTTCTTCTTCTTATTTATCTGTTTTGTTCATTGAGTTTTGTGTTATTTCTATGTAGTTCCGGATCTGGAGACGATGAATTTCAGAGTTCTTAGCAGGACAGACAAATACGAGATTAGAGAAGTCGAGGTTGTTCTTTCACTCACACTTGTCTGTTTGCAATATGATCTCTCTCACTTTAAAGAAGTTTGAATTTTGGAAACAGCCTTATTTTGTGGCCGAGACTACAATGCCAGCGGAAAATGGCTTCAAGGTCTTTCAACGTGTTAGCTGAGTACCTGTTTGGTAAGGTAGTATGAAACATTACTTATGAATTTTGCTGCCCCTCTGTTTTGATTCGAATATTGATTCGAATACTTGTGTTTTCAACAGAACACAGTCAATGAGAAAATGGAGATGACGACCCCTGTTGTTACTCGTAAAGTCCAATCTGTTGGTAAAAAAGATGGAAATGATCACTCCAGTAATAATTAGGAAGGTAATATCTATTGAGAGCATCACATTCAGGTTATCAGTTTGCACATTTAGTGCTGATTCGATTTTTACCTTTTACTTGTTCCTAGTCAATTGGTATCTAAATGTTTTGCATGTGTTCTCTTGCTTCAGGCAAAAAGATCAAACCCAATGGCAAATGTCTTTTGTCATGCCTTCAAAGTATGGTTCAAATTTGCCATAGCCAAAAGATTCTTCGGTCAAGATTCAGGAGGTGCCACGAAAGATTGTTGCTGTTGTTACCTTCTCAGGTAAATGATATACTCGATTTCACTTCCACATGACATACCCTTGAGTCCTTGACATGCAGGCACATGTTTGAAGCAAAACCAAAACTTTATTTTCGGGCTACGTTACCGATGAAGAGATTGAGAAACGTGAGCAAGAACTAAGGAGATCTCTTCAAAATGACAAGATTTTTCGAGTGAGAGATGGAGTTTCAGTTGAAGTTGCACAGGTTCATCAACAAATCACTGCTATAAATGTATTAAAATCCAATCTTATTTCTTAGACTCTCTACTTGACACTTTGCAAATTCATTACTTGCAGTACAATCCACCATTCACTCTCCCGTTTACCCGCCGCAACCGCAACGAGGTCTCTCTCGAAGTGGAAAGCAAAGAAGATTAGCACCTTCGCAGGGACATACATTAATACATACGTATAATACATACATACACACAGTTGTATACAGTACAATAGTTGTTGTGCTAAAGACAAAACGCGTGTACTTGAATAGTTGGAATGTGAGTAGTAAATTATTAATTCTTCTTCACCCACCATTATGGATCTTTACTCTGCTTATAGGCCACTATAGATGGCTATTATAGGCATATACGCTTTGAAATTAGCCCAAACAAGCACTCACACTTTTTACCTTTTGGAAAATTTCATCTTAACAAAATTTACACACTTTTTTGGATTTTAATACAAATTTTGAGCTTTCTGAAAAAAAAAGATTACATCTATTACTACTTGGAACAGTATTTCTGGGAATTTTACATGCTTTCTTGAATTATCTTTGAGTCTTTGTGTTATCTATATATACACATGTATGTGTCATAATATGTGTAGATATGGACATGCTATAGGCTAATCAGATTCAGGAATGCTATCTAACAAAGGCCTCCAGCCTCTAGTACACTCATCATCATCATCATCATCATCCTCATCCTCATCACACATATGTTGCTTAGCAAGATTCTTATAAACAATCTATTGAACTGATCCTCCCTGAAGCAGCTTTTCAAGCTCTTGCTTACTCACAACCATCTTCACCCTCACAACACTAGCACGTTTATCCTTGGTGTTGTCACACCAGGCCCGCCCAGCCATAAGGCACATGATGCATTAGATTTAGGCCACCATGATATTTAGTGTTTTTTAGGGCCACAATTACATGTAGCTGAAATAGCATAGTTGTTATGACAGATGATTTTAACATTCCCTGCATGAGTTCGAACCCAAGATAGATCCCAAATTTATAGTTTTGAAATAATTTTTTTTTTCTAGGCCACATTTAAAAAAAAATCTTTAGGCCACATAATATCTCGGGCCGACACTGTGTCACACAATCTGTAAATCTATCTATCTTCTTCTTCTTCTTCTACTTTCTTCTCCACCTCTGGATTTGCAAACCTGACTTTCTTCATCGTCGTCTTCTTCTTCTTGATTGTGGCCATCTCCTTGGGCATCAGATAGTAGAGATGACCACAGAGAAGCTTGGATTGTGGATGAAGATGACAGTTGTTGGAGAGGGAGTCGAAGAGAGAGTAGTGATTTGAGAATTGTGTCAGGATGTGATGAACCTTCTTGGGTCCTCTGTATTCAACTACTTTGCCATCATCTCTCATTATCTTTATCACTTTTTTCTCCATTACTATACAATTCCCCATCTTTTTTTGTTTGAGTTTTTGGAGTTTTTTTCCCTTACTTTAGTAATTTAGGTTAGTGATTTCTTATGTGTAAATGTGTTTGGAGATTTTTTCTCATGTTTGAGTTTGGAAATTTGTGTTTGTATAATTTATAGAGTTTAGGTTATGAAAATACCTTTGCCTTCTTGAGAGTATTACGAGGACTGCCATTATCTCAGGTCGTCCAAGTCCATTTCGTCACCATTGAGCACTTCTGTGTCTCCGTCTGATTGGTTTGGACAATCCTTGTCTTTCATGAGCAGCTGGGTGTCTCTCCCTGATAGCATTAGGTATTCTTGGAGTTTATCCACGCCCTCTCTCCTCCATAGCAGCTGGTGTCGTTGCCCAATTGGTTTAGGCTTGCTTCGTCTTCATTCAGTAGCTGGATGTTGCTACATGATTGGCCCATCTTAGAAGCTGCTGTGTATCTCCATTTGATTCGTCCATTTCTGGATAAGATCATCCAATAAGAATGCTTATCCACGGCCTCACTCTCTCCTAGCAGGTAGTGTTGATGCACGATTGGTCCAACACAATTTCGTCCCATTCCAATAGCTCAATGTCTCTACTTGATTGGCTGAATGGTTTTGGCTCCATTGTAGTAGCTGCATGTCTTCTCCATATTGGTTATGATCATCCTTATCTTCTCCAAGTAGCTGGTGTCACCACTTGATTGGTTAGAACAAGATTACTCCAATGTACGTTTCCTCGTCCAGAGGGTTTCGTACGTTTCCCTGTCCGGAGGGTTTCGTCCTCGTCGTGCTTGAGAATTAAAATCTCCTATTTTAATCCTTCTCTCATTTCCATGTTTCTGAGCTTCACATAGTTGCTTGGAAATGTGCGGAATACCTCCATCCCGAACATTTACGTTTCTTGCAGTCGTTGCGGGATAGATCTTGGGCGTTCGTCCCATCTCTCAATCTGTTCGTCCGATTTGCATTCTGCTTCGACCAAACTTCTTATAATGGTCTCTTATGTCGTCCAAACTCTTCTCTTCTTGATTTGGAGAACTTTGATATTTCGTCGTCCTGTTGACTCTTCCCATGTTCGTACAATGATCGTCCCACATGGACAATCTTGCTGTATCTTCAGTTCTGCTTGATCGTTCTTGATCCTGTCTTGATCCAAATCTTCGTTGTGATCTCTGGATTAGATCCCACGTCTTTGTCTTCCAATCCCAGAGTGTTGATCTTTCCATCCCGGCCTTTGGGATGTTTTAGGTCTTGATACGGGGTATCACATTCTCCCCCCCTTAATAGAATTCGTCCCCGAATTCCAGTTGTAGAGAGTGGGAACGTTGCATTGTTCCGGTTTCTCTCTCCATCTTTGAAGATGCCTTGGCTCCTCTTACTCTGTCTTCACATTGTCTCCTTGCAGACTCCTCTTACTTTGTCTTCACGTTGTCCCCTTGCAGACTCCTCTTTCACTGATCTCCTCTGATCCTCCTTGCTCAAATCTTCATTCCCATAACCATCCATCCCGGCTTTAACTATGGGTTATATAATGTCAAAACCGTACCTTACCAACACTGCCTTGTTGGTATTGATCCCGGTCTGACCACTCTAGCGAGGTTCTCCTAACTTCGCTAACCACCTAATCACTTACTCAAGGATTTTTCCGCACTAGCTTTATTTCCCTCTTGGAAACAGCATTCACGGAAATTCCTTCTATTAACACATCGCTTCCCTTTAAGGGTTCCACTCGATGTGCTAATCCCAAAACTACTTTACCAGAACCACCTTGGTTCCAAGGATATCCGCTCTAGTTTCTTTTCCTTCTGGAAATAGAAACATCGGAATCTCCTTTCACCACATCGTTTCCCAAAACATGGGTTTCCTAAACGATGTCTCTACCAAACTCAACTTAAACCACCAAACAATCCTACTTACTATACCAAGCAAGCAAGAAAATAAACCATTCAAAGATTGAGTTAGAACCCGAAAAATACCTTTTCTTGGCATGTGGTTTAGGGTTCCTAGACTCTATCTTACATTCTACGGCTTCCACTCCCTGGTCGCCTCTCTCTCTTTGTGGTTGAGCGGGTGGGTTGACTAGTACTGGGGCAGTTCCTTGGACAGTCTGCTGAGAAATGTCCTTTCTCTCCACATGTAAGGCAAATGTTCTGCCTTTCATTCATCCTTGATCTAACTCGCACATTGGGACATGCTCGGCTATGATGTCCTGTCCCTCCACATTGATCGCATGGTAGCGTGACTTGAGACGGTGCTGGGACTCTCATCCTCGCGAGTCTTCTGGGAGGCCTTCCCCTTTGGCTTGACACCATTTGCTCTAGAACATTGCCCTCTGTTCTGAGATTCTCCAATTCTGTGGCGATTATCTCATCCCACCTTCTTGCTAAGTTAAGACTTTCATCGTCTTGTGGCCATTCGTTCTCTCCGGTACCTTCCTCCGTGGTTTGGTTAAGATCCGGTACTTGATATTCATTGCCTGCCACCGAGTTTGGTGCATCTTGTTCTCCATACATTGTACACCATATCGCATTAGCTTCTCCTTGATCTTGAGGTATGCTTCCTTCTCCATGCTCCATTGATGATGTGTATCCAGCGATCTCGTTGAGTTTCCTTGTCCAGTACATGGGTGATACGTTCTGGTGTCCAAGATAATCCTCCCATGTTGGTTCCGCGTATCCGGTTCTTCAGGTTGGTTTGTGAAGACTTCACTATTGACTTGAACTGCAACGGCTGGATCATTGCTTTCTACGCCACTGGCAATGAACGGGTACACGTAGTCCGTTGGATTCTCCTCCGTTGGTATGTACGGGTATACTCCACCTCCCGGTGCAAATACATGCGGCATTGGTATATGCGGTAGAACACTTGGTGGACTATCTCTATCCCAAGAGTTTGGTGTAGTCTCGCCTGAACTGATCTCTATGATTTGGGTAGATGGCACTACTCTCTCCTCCTCAGGGTAATGTACTGGCCATGTCATGTGTTCGCCATACTCATTCACCGTTGTGCTGGGCTGCACGTTGTCTCTTGGCATGAGATATACGTCTTCGTCCCAATCACTGCTGCTAGCATGATCTGTTGGCTGTTCCAAATCCGTCACTACGATCCAGTGCTCCGAGTTGCTCGACGGTTCTGAACTCGACGATACAGACTCAGCTGTCCATACCTGTCCAGTACTAAACCACGACCCCTCATAATCCACAAACCAGTCACTCATGACTTCAAGCTATCACCACAAAGCACACATTAGGGTTCCTATTCAACACAATCTATCCCATGGATGATCCACATCCATCTATTCTATGGATGATCAACACCCATAAACACCTCAAACATGGCTTATCACATTGCATAATGTTACCATAACCTCTATACTGACCATGCAACAATCAAACAAGAACATGCAAGATCAATCAGAAATTATAAGCAACATCAAGCAATGCTTAACCACAACCTAAACATTCTACCTATATCCTGGAGACAGACCAGATTACCTAAGGTAGTTTTTGCGACTTCTTTTTGACTCGATAAAACGTTTAAAATCCTTGTTCCCGAGCATGATCATAAACCATGCTCTGATACAACCATTTCTAACACCCCCGAACCGTCCTAGGAACAGACGTTCCGAGAAGCGTCACAAAATGTCGATGTTCGCCGAATAGGCCATCCCAGACTAAGAACAAATCAGAGCCCAGGTCAGCCCGTTCCACGAACTTGACCCTCTTGACCAAAGCCTAAGGCTTGCCAACCCGTACTTCGGTCAGGAGTTGTGTTAGCCCGGACCAAGCTAATATCATTAGAACATAAGGTCTTTACATAAAACTTTCCTTTATTAAAATATCAGAGTGCTTACATGACATGAACATGTGTAACGAACTACGAATGGCTTGATCCCGGCACAGGTACGTAGGCAACCTTTTTCACTAAGGGCGCAGTTATAATACTTAATAAAATTAAATTTTTTTTAAGTCCTTTTTCATCTCGACAAGCGCGCCTCATCCCTTTCGATTCATTTGATGGAGGTCATATAACAAATCTAACACTTTTCGCAATTGGTTCCTTTTTGTCAAGATTAAAATGATTTGATTTCGAATATTCAAATTCAAGTTATTCTTTTAAAGCGGGCTTTTATTTTCCGCATAACCGTAAAGTTAAATAGAAAAAGGTTATATTAGTAGATATGATTGATTTTAACAATTTATCCATAATCGAAAAACTTGTTTGGATTATTTTTGATACTAACAAATTAAAATTGGATAACTTCATTTGTCTTGGATATGTCCCTTTGTTGTATTGTTAAACGTTTCAGTGTGATTTCCTTTCACTAGCCGTATTTAGAATTTGTTAGAGAAGAAATTAGTACATTTCCTTGAGCCCGTCACTATTAGTAAAATCACCAAAGCTCAATCCAACTTTAGTTATAACCTTCTCAACGAAATGACAAGACTTGAGGAGAAAGGCACAACTCATGAGGAAATATAAACCAACCCTCACGCCGACTCGAAGAATGGAAGGAAATCAAGAATAAGAGGAAGTTTTCCATATCGCTAAAGAGGAAGTTTTCCATCCCGCCGGAAGGAGAATATTCATCAAAAGGCCGACCTATCGACACTATATAATGAAGACCCCCCACTCAGGGAGGGGCATCCAAGATCATCGAGAACTACTCACAAGAAATCTAGGCCTAGCATCCTTTTTACTCTTCTTTTTTTTTCCTCTTGTTCATCATAGTTTGTCTCGTCAAGCCTATTGGCGAGATATCATCTTTTGTAATCTTCCCGATATTCTTCGAGTTAAATCAAGCCTCCAGTTTCCTAAACTCACATCTTTGATATCCCGCTCAACGAGTGCTATCAGATCTAACAATTGGCGCCCACCGTGGGGCTGGAAACACTTCTCGCTATTCATCTCGAAGGTATCTAGACTTTTACGGAGACACAACGATGGTGAACTCAAGAGAGAACATGTAACACCCCCAGTTCGGTCTATAGACATAGACTAAACCACATATGTCACAACTGTCGAGACTCATCAAATAGGCCGTTCCAGAACAGAGAACGAATCAAAGTCTAGATCAGCCCGTCCGGTGAATCCGACCCTCTCGACCGTAGCATAAGGCTTTGCAACCCGTACCATGGTCTTGAGTTGTGTCGGCTTGGACTAGCCTATTATCATTGAGTAACCGGGTTTAAAAGAAAACATTCTTTTATATATATCAAACTTGTAACACAAATTCTTACAAAACATTTTATACTTTATGTTGCAGCTGCGGCCTAATGCCAAAAGATAATTATACATACATTACCCGAAAACCGAGTTTTGCAAAAAGCCAACCAAACTACTCCGGTCTTCGACTGTTCTGCCTCCTGTTCACAGGATTCTACTCCGAGCTACCTGTAAGACAAATAATCATCATGAGTAACCTAATGTTACTCAGTGAGTTCAGGACCCTCTATACAAAGGTTATTCCCCAAACCCAAACCCCAAAAGAAAAAGGCGGGATCTCATCCGCCACCTGCAACACAAAGCAATTATGCAATATTGCTGCTATAGCCTTAAGACTAACCGTACCCCAATCAAACAAGAACAGGTACGATCAATCCAAGACTATAACAACACTCAAACAAGCAATCAATCAATCAAGCAATGCACACAATCAATCTATATGCAAAGCAACCCTAATCAAGTAGCGGAATACTTGACTTCTACATGCAGTGAGGCCTCTAGGTGCATAAGCCACATTCTCAGCCCACGCCTGTGAAGGTTCACGCTCATCCGGAATCACACAGAAACTAGATGAACGCCTTCACCCGGGCACTACAGTCCATCGCGGTACCCGGTTCATCCTCCCATCTATTGGCCTTACTGGCGCACCATGCCAATGTCTGGTTGGATCCCATATCGTCATATGGTACCATACTCGGCCAAGGCAGCTGACCAGGTTATCCTCCGAGTCTTCCTCCCTTCATGCACAGCCTCCACGCTGCCAATCCGGTTGGGCTCTGACGTGCGAGAATGCGCTTGACTACACCTTCCTAAACAACATGTGGTTAGACACGCCACATGTTCTCAGTACTTAGCATATGGGCCTTTACGCACCACTATGCCTCATACCCTCGGTTCTGCGGCAGAGCTTCCCTTGCCTCGGAAGAGTACCCACACGAACCTCGAAAGATCTGGCGGCTCAGCCGTCCGTGATCTTTCCACATCGGAGTCATACTCAACATATGGGCCTTACGCACCACCATGTTAGCATGCACTCGAGGTTTAGCGGCATAGCCATGCTATAACCCCACAACCGATGCATCTCTATGCACCTGCACAAACAAGATCTGACGGCATAACCTTCCCCGAAGGTTACCCATCACAATCTTACACACAAAAGAGATCTGCCAGCATAACCTTCCCCGAAGGTTACCTGACACAACCTCACAACACAAGAGATCTGACGGCATAACTTCTCTCTCTAGAAGATTACCCGTCACAACCTCACAGAGATTTCTGCAGCATAACTCTCCACAATTTTTACTAAACATTATTGTTTAGAGAGTTATACCACATACTTATGAAACGATAGAAGGAAATAAACTATAACCTAGCTACCGGAACTCACAACTTTTAGACGACCCGGCTGACCCCGACCCTAGCCTCCCCGCTCTAGCCCGATGCTGATCCGCCTCTGGATCTTCTTCTCTTCTCCTCTTTCTTCTTCTTTCTCTTCTCCTCCACGCCTTCTCACTTTCTCTTTCTAGTTTCTCTCTCTAGATTTCAGTTTGTGGTGTGGTTTGGAAATGAAGACCAAGGGGGCCTTTATATAGGTTTTTCGGAAGCTCGAGGTGGCGTCTGGTGGCTTCAGAACGCGACACCTTGCTTCCGCATGCAACCAATGGCATTGCTGCACGCCTGGAGCAGCTTCTTCCATCCCAATCCACTTGAGTCAAATGGCACCTTCCCATTGGTCCATTCCCCAAGCTGCTGGGTAGCTGAACGTGATTGGTTCGTTGAGGATGAGCATCTCCTCCTTGATCCTATCTTCCTGGATCAAGTGGCTCCTTTCCATTGGCTCATTGTTGATCAGATCAACAAGCTGCTGAGTGTCTAGACCTGATTCGTCCAACACATTCCTGTCTTCTCATGAGCAGCTGAGTGCTCACACCTGATTGGTGCAACACATTTTCGTCCCATATGAGCAGCTGAGTGCCCATACTTGATTGGTTAGCTTGAACTTATCCTTGATAAGTAGCTGGTGTCGCCATTCCATTGGCCTTGTGCTTCCTTCTACGTTTCCTCTTGCAGAAGGTTTCGTACGTTTCCCTGTACGGAGGGTTTCGTACGTTTCCTTGACTGGAGGGTTTCGTCCCGTCGTACTTGAGAATTAAAATCTCTTATTTTAATCCTTCCGTCATTTCCATGTTTCTGAGCTTCCACATAGCTGCTTGGAAATGTGCGGGAAACCTCTATCCCGGGACATTTGCGTTTCTCGCGCTTGTCATGGGATGGATCCTCCGTGTAGTGGGATGGTCGTTTCTGGCCGTCCGTCCCGTCTATGTCTTGACCGTGCTTAGCTAGCATGAGGGATATTACAGAACACCCCTCCCGGGAGTCCATCCCGCTCAGAAGGGAACCCGAGTGACGATCTGTCGCCACCAACGATAGACAAGTCACTACCCGTTGAAGACATGGACAAATCCGTCCCTCCAAGGAGCCGGTCTACCTCGCCGCGAAGATCCAGTTCGCCGTGACGGACTCCATCGCCAAAAGGGGACGAAAGCCCTCCTCCGTCCGCACCACGCCGCTCGAAGAAATCTTCCTAGAGTGACAAGCCCCGTAACTCGAAGAGATCCTCTTCGAACGACAAGCTCCGCAAGCTCATGGAGAATCTCGTACCTTTTTATACTGTTTTATATTGTTTTCTAATGGTTTTTGGCAGGTTTTCTATCTAAAAAGGTAGTTTTACTTGTTTATAGTGTCTAGAGTCTAAACAGGTGAAATGATGCATTTTGGAGCAAAACCATAGGATTTGCACTTCAAGCCGCTCCATGCACAAGCATCAACTTTAAGAGGGCCCAGAAAAAGATCTACTCAATGGATTTCATCAAGACCAGTTCCCTGCGTGCTCTGATTGAGTTAACTTTCCAACGCAACTGGAATGGCTCATTTGGATGAGTAGAAAAGGAGTTATACCAAAAGAGTGAAGACTGTCCAGACGGCTCTATCGAGAATTAGCCGCGCACACCGGCCGAGGAACGAACGTCCGCGATCGTCCCGCGCACGTCAAGTCTCGGCCAAGTCCACGGCCGAGCTCACGTCACGACCCGGGAAAGCAATCCCGCGGTCGGCCGCCAGCTCGCCACCACAAGCCGTGCACGACCGCGCGCGAGCCGGGAAGCAAAGCCTCGCGGCCGCGCAAACCCACGTACCGCGGCCGACCCATCCGTCCGAACAGGGGCATCGTCCCCGTCCGGCCAAGTTTCATCGGCCAACCTTCCATCCGTCCGACCACGCGGCCGACCGAAAACTATCGGCCACGATCGTCCCGACCGTCCGATGGCCGACACGATCCGATGACGGCCGATCGTCCCGACCGACCGTCCGAACGCCGCGGTCGACCCGAAGCCCGTTTTGAACACGTTTTCAAGCCCGGCTTAACCCTAAGCCGCCTCTGAAGACCTAGCACTATATATATACTTTTTAGCCTCTTGAAAGAGAGCCGCCCTTGTATCGATTTCCTACTCTAAGTTTTATTGCAATCATGTTTTCTTCATCTCTATGTGTGTTTGCTTTGATCATGTCTGAGTAATCCACTAGTTAGGTTGCTAGGGTTACTATTCAATGAGTTGCTTGCATGATCTTTGATTTCAATGATTAGCTAGGGATTATATTAGAGTCTTTGTCTCGTCTTGTGCACTTAACTAATGCTGATTGCTTTACCGCGCATCTAGTAATCCGATCTTAGGTTGATTTGAGCCTCGACAGTGCTGTATCATTCGCCGGACATATTCTTTGACAAGCTAGGTTTCTTAGACTGCGAAAGTTGATCTACTATATCTAGTGAACTGTATCAGAACCTATTCATTCTAAAGCTTGATTTAATCACCTAGGGACATACCAAAAGTTTAGCGACTAGGTAGATTAACAAAGGAGCCGGAGCCTCGAAAGTGGAATGGTTTTATATTCGTGATCTGTGTTCTAGACGGTTCTTAATATCCCAATATCCCTAATCAATTCATCTATCATTGTTTCATTGATCATTGCTTGCTTCTCTGCGATAGCCCCTATGACCTAGCGCTTTTCCTTATTGATTTACAACCTCGTTATACTTGCTAGTTCGGTTCACCATTACAACCTCAATCATACTTTTGTTTTAGCTTGATCCAAAATCCATAGTTTCAAAGTGTACTCAATAGCCAGTCCTTGTGTTCGATACCCATACTTCCGCGATCTGTGCACTTGCAGAGGTCTAGGAGTTTGGTAAAACCTGACTCCGCATCAAGTTTTTGGCGCCGTTGCCGGGGACTGCAGCAGTACCTTTGGAACTCGACTAGGATCTAGTCTAGAACCTTTTCCTGTTTTGCTTTTCTTTTGCTTTTGAATTTTCAGTTTTTGATTTCCTTTTTTTGATTTTTACTTTTGTTTTTGTTTTTCCCTTTTGATTTAACTTGTTTCCAAGACTCTTTTCAGGTGCATGACTAGGAGGTCCAACAAGGACAACCTAGTTGAACATCCAGAGATAGACAAGCTTGAGAAGCAACTTAGGAAGCAAAAGCCCAAGAGATGGCCGACGAAGCAGCTCGCGCTCACGCCGCTGAAGTGGCGCGCGCTCAAGAAGAAGGAAGAGATCCACCTCCTCCTCCTCCTAATCCACAAGACCCTGCTGGAGATGTGAATGTGCACAACCTCAAGCTGGAGCACCTACAATCGGAGACTATGACTCTGCCGATGCTTTCTTCATGGATAGAAACCCTATCCATCCACCACTTCCTGCAAGGAATGACTATGAGATCAAGCCTCAGATCATAGCATTGGTTAGACAGAACCAATTCAATGGCCTTCCAGCTGAGCACCCTCTTGATCACATAGAAAACTTTGAAGAAATTTGCAGCACTACAAGATCCAATGGAGTCTCTGCTGACTACCTTGAAGTGCAAGCTCTTTTCATTCTCTCTTGGCGACAAAGCTTCAAGATGGTTGAAGTCTCTGCCAGCTCACTCCATTACCACTTGGGATGAGTACAAGGCTGCATTCATCAACCACTTCTACACCAAACAAGAGATCAATTTCTGTAAGGAACAAGATCTCCAACTTTCGCCAAGCCAACAATGAATCTTTCTATGAGGCGCTAGATCGATTCAAGGAGTACATTAGGGACTGCCCTAATCATGGTTTCAATGAGGGAAACCTATGGAACATCTTCTATCGTGGCATAGACCACAAGTACAAGCTTTCATTGGACACTGCAAGCAATGGAAACTTCATGACCAAGACTGTTGATGAAGCTAAGGTTCTTATTGAGAATCTTGCAGCTAGTGATTGTAACAACTGTCCTGATTATGACCGCTCAAGCCGCACCACTACTAGCTCCCCTGATTCTTTTCAAATGACTGAACTCAAGAACATGATGGCTCAAGTTCTTAAGGGACAGCTCAAGCATATCAATGCAATAGAAGGGATGAGTGATGCTAATGAAGACCCATCAAGAGAATGCATGGGAGATTTCTCTAATGAAGCCAATGAAGAAGATGTGAACTACATTGGAAACTATGGGAACAAGGGATACAATCCAAGCTATCGCCCAAACCCCAACATGTCTTATAGAAACCCCAATGTGGAGAATCCTCAAGACCAAGTGTATCCTCCAAGGTATCCACAACAACAAAGACCTCCTTACCAATCTCAAGGAAGTCAATTTCAGCCAAGGCAAGGTATGAGCAGAGATCATCATATCCGCCCAAGGAGCCATATGCTTCTTCACCAAATCAAGCTCCTCCAAACCAACAAGGTGGGAGATTTGAAGGAATCCTCCAACAGATCATGGATGGCCAGAAGAGAAACACTAAAGAGATGTATGAGAAGATGGACACTTTGTTCAGCAATCTCAACACCAAGTATGATGCTGTTGCCACTCATGTGAAGAAACTAGAGACTCAAGTCACTCAAACTATGGAAGCTGTTAAGAGACAGGAAGCTGAATCCAAGAAGTCCTTTTGCAACTCAGCCGCCATAGAAGAAAGATTTGAAGACCAAGTTCCAGAATGGATGCTTTCAAAACCTACTGTTGATTGCATGATTTGGCCTGAAGAGAATTACCCAGAGAGAGAGTCCAATCGAGCTAGAAAGAGAAGACTCTTCCCAAAGATTATCCCCAAGACAGATAACTCAGGAAAGTTTGTTGTGCCTTGTATCATCAAAGGTAACATTCTTGAGCAATCTTTGTGTGACACAGGAGCCAATGTGAACATCATGTCTAAGAGGATAGCTGACAAGATAGGCCTCACCAAGATAGAGCCATCATCCATCTCCATCAACTATGCTGATTCATTCTCACAAACCCCTATGGCTTTGTGCCTAATGTGATGGTGCAGATTGGAAATTGCTCTATCCCTACTGATTTCCAGATTGTGGAAATGAGAGAGAGTAGCCATAGACCTCTCATATTTGGAACCCCTTTCCTGTCTACTGTGGGTGCCATATTTGATTTCCCCAATCAAAGAATCTCTTTCAACAAGGTGAACAAGGGTATGTTCTTCCCTATGTGTTCAACAAAGAACTCTTTTGTTGACATGGTCCAAGAGGAGAAAGCTACTTTGAAGCCACCCCAAGAAGGAGAAACTGAAGAAACAATCAAGGAAGATCCCATTCCTAAGCCCAAGCAGCTTGCCAAACAAGCAAGGAGTAAGACTAAGGCCCCTACACCAAAACCGCCCAAGGGATTGTAACATCCCCGATCCTTACTAGGATCGGCGGATGGACCATGGTCGGGAACAAATGAAGAGTTGGGCGGAGAAAGAAGTTAAAGTCGTTCCATGGTCAAAATATGGCTAAGTCCAGAAGGTAAAAGGACTTAGCGTGTTAGAAAGAAGAAATTGGCAGCTGAAAGCTAGCTGGAACTAGCTGGACGGCCGAGCTAAGTCAGCTGGGTCAGCTCGACCAGCTGGTGGACAGCTTAGTCTAGCTAGGTGGAGTGTTCGGTAGCTGAGCTACCTAGACTCAGCTAGTAAGTGGCTGTTACTGGCCGAACCGGTGCAAGGGCCAAAGAGCGCAGGCACGAACAGTCGCGACTGTTCGGCGGCCGAGTCTATATATACAAGGCCTTGGGGTCTGGAATCCGCATTCACGTTCACCCAAAGGGAAAGCCCGATTGAAATAGAAATCGTGCGAAGAGAAGAGAAAGGCCGAGAGAGTGTTAACGGCGGTCGAGCGGTTACAACCGGCGGCCGAACAGAGATGGCGGACTTGACTCCGTCTAAGAAGGGAGGAGGGAAGGAATCAGGGAAGCAACTGCCCAAGACTCCCGAACCGCCACCTAAGGTATGAAGTCGGACCGACCTTGATCGGCGATCTAGGGATTGGCGGATTAGTCCGGCCAGTCCAGGGATCCGATCAAGTCGCGGCCATAATCTTCTTACTTAAGTTATATATTCAAGTTTCTGTTGCTACGGTTGGGTTAAGGAGATAGATCGATCCCAAGGGTTGATCGATCGTCCTTGATCAAACCTAGTTGGGACGGTTGGTCGCCGAACGGTTGATCAACCGCAGAACGTGTGGAGCGCATCGGCCGTGCGAACGGTTACGGTCGTCCATACGGTTGTACAGACGGTTTGGCGCGATAGTCCGTACGGTCGGCGTTATCGGCCAAACGGTCGTTGTACGGAACCGATGGAACGGTCGGCCGTGCCAAATGGTGCGATCGTCCAGACGGTTAAGGCCGATACGATCGAACACTGAACAAGTGTCTCGGTCAGTTCGGGCGGATAGAGGCGGCATGACCGGTCAAACGGAATTGATACGATTGGTCATGTCTGGCCGTACATAGGCGGATAGTTAGGTGTGTTCGGTCCGGAATTGAGATGGCCGAACACCCGCGGTTACGAACGGATGCGATAGGTTGTGGTCGGGAATAGCTTGGCCGATGGAACCAGGGTTCGGCGAGTGACTTGGGAACCAAACAGATTCGCCAAGGCTCGGCCAAAATCCCATGTTCGGTTCTTGGTTAAGTAAAATCTCGGCCAGAAAGAGATTATGCGGGATTATAAGGGGATTAACGGTTACATGAGCATATTTACATTGAATGCATAAACCGCTCATTATGCTAGACTTAGAGAACTCATGTCTCTTTGGTTTTGACAGGACAAGATGGTGATCAGGATAAGGTCTAGGCGCGCAAGACCATTGGCCGTGAAGATGTGTGGTTGTATGAAGTTAGGCTGTATTGATAGGATCGAACACTTGTAATAGCTTATAGCAAACTCACTTGTTGTATCGAATCCTTTGAATTATTAATAAAGATACAGTTTATGGCTCTAACCTGTTTACATTCGACTCTATACTTAATGAATCACAGAATAAACGAAATAAATGAATATTGTTTAAGGAATGGGCCCTTAAAACGAAGTAGGTCGGATCGGAACACTTAGTGGATCGATTGGAAGCAAACCTCACGGTCTAGTGGCCGGGATGGGTTGTTTCAAGTTGGTATTAGAGCATGCTTGCTCCTAGGACGGTTTAGTTGGGTTAGGGTACACCACACATCCGCGGGAAGGTCTTGCGCTAGGATTGATTGTCTTGAGAAGTTATCACGGTTAGGAAGAACTAACTTGTTGAAATTTTCAGGATAACAAGGATAAGTCCTCAAGGAAGAAGGACACGGATGCGGCGAATCCAAGCAAGGACAAGGCCGCAGCGGTATTGAACGTGCGTACTGATGGCCCAACCGGTCCTGTGGTTGGGAAAACAAACACAACGCCAGTGGTTCAGACCGCGGTTGTTCCGCCTCCAGCGAATAATCTGGCAAGCCGGAACCCTCAAGTCCATCCTCGGGTGGAAGAATCAGAGGAGGATACGGATGATGAGAGTTATGAAACAAAATCGACGGTTCGGACGGGGACCAGAGTTGAACCAACGACTGGGCGCGGAAACAGACTGAGATCCCTACGGTAGGAAACCAGACTGAGATTCCTACGGTGGGAACCCAGACCGAGATCCCTACAGCGGGAGAGATATGGGATATGATGATTAAGGTCATGAGCCAAGTGGAGAAATTGGCACAAGTGCTGACCCCGGCGGAGAATCCGCCCATGGGACAGTCGAGCGAAGCTAGTAATGCGGTGGGAACAGACGGGGAACAAGCCGGCAGCGTTCCGGATGTGATGGAGATCGAACCACCACAAGTGAAAACTGGCTGAAGGGTGGATTATCTGAGCCTTTTGGACCATGTCTCCCGTTTGGGTACGAAGCACTTCAAGGGAAGTGCGGATCCGATAGAGGCGGATGAGTGGAAGTGTCGGCTCACAAGGAACTTCCGATCTACTGATGCGGAGTCAGGTTTTACCAAACTCCTAGACCTCTGCAAGTGCACAGATCGCGGAAGTATGGGTATCGAACACAAGGACTGGCTATTGAGTACACTTTGTAACTATGGATTTTGGATCAAGCTAAAACAAAAGTATGATTGAGGTTGTAATGGTGAACCGAACTAGCAAGTATAACGAGGTTGTAAGCAATAAAGGAAAAGCGCTAGGTCATAGGGGCTATCGCAGAGAAGCAAGCAATGATCAATGAAACAATGATAGATTAATTGATTAGGGATATTGGGATATTAAGAACCATCTAGAACACAGATCACGAATATAAAACCATTCCACTTTCGAGGCTCCGGCTCCTTTGCTAATCTACCTAGTCGCTAAACTTTTGGTATGTCCCTAGGTGATTAGATCAAGCATTAGAATGAATAGGTTCTGATACAGTTCACTAGATATAGATAGATCAACTTTCGCAGTCTAAGAAACCTAGCTTGTCAAAGAATATGTCCGGCGAATGATACAGCACTGTCGAGGCTCAAATCAACCTAAGATCGGATTACTAGATGCGCGGTAAAGCAATCAGCATTAGTTAAGTGCACAAGACGAGACAAAGACTCTAATATAATCCCTAGCTAATCATTGAAATCAAAGATCATGCAAGCAACTCATTGAATAGTAACCCTAGCAACCTAACTAGTGGATTACTCAGACATGATCAAAGCAAACACACATAGAGATGAAGAAAACATGATTGCAATAAAACTTAGAGTAGGAAATCGAAATACAAGGGCGGCTCTCTTTTCACAAGAGGCTAAAAATCCTATATATATAGTGCTAGGTCTTTCTAGAGGCGGCTTAGGGTTAAGCCGGGCTTGAAAATATGAAATTTGGGCTTCAAAAGGGCTTCGGGTCGACCGCGGCGTTGGGACGGTCGTGCGGGACGATCGGCCGGACAATCGGGTTGTGGCCGAGTCGGAACGGTCGGGGCCGGATGGATTCACGGTCGGCCGGCTTGGTCGGCGGATGAGTTTGGCCGATGAAATCTCTCGGCCGGACGCGGGCGTTTCCCGGCTCGGACGGAGCATCGGCCGGTACGCGAGGGAGTTGCGCGGCCGCGAGGCTTTTCCCGGCTCGCGCGCTTTGGTCGTGCGCGGCTGTGGCGTGGCGGTTGTGGCGTGGCCGACCGCGGGCTTGAGTTTCCCGGGTCGTGATGCGTGATCGGCCGAGTGGTTTGGACTTTGGCCGAGACTTCAGACGGACGGACTTTGGCCGAGCGCGGAACATCGTTCCTCGGCCAGCCGGACTGCGCGGTTGGGCGCTGATTCTCGATAGAGCCGTCTGGACAGTCTTCACTCTTTTGGTTGTAACTCCTTTTCTACTCATCCAAATTAGGCCGTTCCAGTTGCGTTGGAAAGTTAACTCAATCAGAGCACGCAGGGAACTGGTCTTGATGAAATCCATTGAGTAGATCTTTTTCTGGGCCCTCTTAAAGTTGGTGCTTGTGCATGGAGCGGCTTGAAGTGCAAATCCTATGGTTTTGCTCCAAAATGCATCATTTCACCTGTTTAGACTCTAGACACTATAAACACAGTAAAACTACCTTTTTAGATAGAAAACCTGCCAAAAACCATTAGAAAACAATACTAAAACAGTATAAAAAGTGGGTAAATTAGAGGTATATCAACTCCCCCAGACTTAGATCTTTGCTTGTCCTCAAGCAAAAAGAATCTAAATCCGTGAAAGAGGTTTGAAAACGTGGAACTCCCTTGCTCTTTTGAATATCCTGTGAAAGGTTCCTTTCCTGTATTCCACTATGAACATAGACAACATAAGGTTAGCTTCACATACACCCTGCAAGTTTAGCGAACAATACCAACCCAACTAGTCTCATCCAGCAATCCAAACTCTCTATTGCTAACCTCTTGCATAAATTTAAAGCGTGAATTCTTTATCAAGGGGACATCGATCAATTGAACTTGTTCTTACCCACTTGATCTCTCCAAGATTGCCTCTTTAAGTGCAATGAGTTCTTTTCCTCTCTCTTTCTCACATCAGAACTTTGAAAGGTCAATTTCTCCCTACTTTTCTAGGGTATCATTTTATTTTTTCTATTGACCCTTCTTTCAACCACAGGATAAGTCTTTAGCTTGTTCCTTGTTTGACTAAGGTATTCCATAAGACATGAAGGTACAGACATATGCATTCCTCATGCTTACTTGTTTTCCTTGTGCTCTTTGAGCTTTTTCTCATAACATTACTTACCATTTGGGATGGGAGAGAGAGGAGAACTCTTTAAAGATTAGACAAATCTTATTGAAAATCAAGCAAGGAACTGTCGACATGTATGCCAACCCCCTTGACAAGAGTATTAAGATTGATTAAGGGTGAGGTTAACTCTAGATTGCTTGGTTACCTTAGAAATTTTGCTGAGCTAGCATGTCGATCCACTGTAAGAGCTTCTGTTAGGCTTGTGCCTTTAGCTGGTTTCTGCTCTAGGGTCATGGATTGTTAGCACAACACTCTCAATTCTCAAAGCAAGTTCATAACTTCCGGACTGGTTTTTGACTCAATAAAACTTTTTGAAAAACATGAAACAAAGTGAATAAAACATAAGAAAAGAAAGAAAAATGCATTAGTAACACAATAAAACTCCCCCCAGACTTAACTTGCACCGTCCCGGTGAAAGCAAATCACATTAAGGTGAGAGGTAATATTCAAAGTAAAAGAAAAATAAAGAGAAATTCATTAAAATGAGATAGGGATAGAAAATGGAGATTTGTAAGTGTCCATTGCACTAAGTACCACTTGAGATGACTATGTGTGGCAGTGAGAAGAACTCTCTTCCTCATCTATGGGGTCATCGCCTTCTGAACCAAGCTCTGAGTCTAGTGAGAACTCACCAAGGTCAGGCTCATATGGCTCTCTAGCGGTGGAAGAAGGGCGAAAGAGTCTCTCCGGTGCAATGTGGCGAACTACACGGACTAGGCGTGAGATGAAGCGAGATTGGCATTCCACTATCTTCTCCAGCTTGTTAACACGGTCTAGAGCTTGGTGCGCAGCCATGCCAGTAGTGAGAACATGGCGTTCTTGGGCGGCGTTGAGTCTTGACTGCATGCTGAAGTGTGCGATAGGTGTGCATGGGGAATGATGGTTTCTCACTTGATGGAACATAGAAGTCTTCCTCATTGGGCTGGAAAGTGACAACACCTGAGCGTAGGCTTGGGATGTCTTCATGTGGCAGCAAGACAAGGGAAGTGTTGGCTGGACCAATTGGAAACTCATAGCAAAACCGAGTTGGGTCTTTAGTCCAACGGTTTAGGAAGTGGATGTGCTGAAGAGCATGGAGATCCAAAGGGGTTGGCTTGGGTAGTGGCTCATAGTTGGGAATGTCAATCCCCACATGTTGTACTATGGCCGTGATAAGCCTCCCAAAACGAACACAAAGCTTCTTGTTGCCTTCCAAGTCTTTGGCTAGCTTCCTCACATTGATGAATGTCTTGGCAAGTAAAAGAGTTGGAATAGAGCTGAGATAGAGATGCGCCCATTGGCATCTCCTATCTTGAAGAGTAGGAGTCCATCACCAGCTGGTTGGTCTCCATTGTGGTTGGGAAAGGCAAGAGCTACTGTGGAGAGAAACTCCTTTGTGAGTTGTGAGTACTCACTACATTCTAGCTTGAAGAGCTTGCTCAAGCCTAGCTTCCTTATGTACCATGTGACATCATCTCTTATCTTGAGAAGATCAAGGGTTTGGGTGTCCATCTTCACACATGGCTCGATGTTCACCTTCTCCATTGCCTTCTTACACTTTCTTGGGTCTTGATTTTGTTCTCCAACAAAGGTTACAAGTGCCCAATCATCTTCTCCTCTTCTTGGACTCTCCACATGTTCTTGATTTGCATCAATGGAATGTGGTGAAGTTGGTATTGCTGCTCTTGCATTGGAGCTACTACTCCCTAGCTTGATTTGTTTCTTTGGTGGCTCCATGAATGGGTCCTTCTTCTTCTTCATACTCTCATTTCCTTTTGTCTTTGCCATTGTGTACCTACAAGAGCAAATTCTTGGGGAGAAATATGAGTTTGTGATTAATGCAAAAGAAGAATAAGCTAATTGAGTTGTAATAATGATATGGAATAAAGGAACAACTCAAGGCTTAATCATGAATCAAAGAGACAAAATAGAAATTTCACTTTTTCAAAGTTAATTTTCGGATTTTACTGTTCATCCCAAGATTATGGTGCTTAAAATCGAAATTTTTAGCAAATCAAGAGAAATTGAGTTTATAATCCAAGTAATCACTAGATAAACTAATGAATTGAAGAATGCCTAAGCAATTTCACCTTTGAATAAGGGGTTTGGAATGCCCAATAAGTTTTGTGAAAAACTATTCAATTGTGAATTAAACTTCAAATTAACTCTAAACCACCTAGGTTCCACCTAGCTAAGTTCAATACAAGACTCATAAGAATGGTAATTTCAAGTTTAAACAAGAGTTTAGGTTAAACAAGAAACTAATGAGAATTTCAATCTTGCATAAACATGGGATTTGAGTTAGAAGACATACCTTGTGTGTTGAAAAGTGAATAAAGGTTGCAAGAGCAAGTAAATTCCAATTTAGAGTTATGAACAAGTAAAAGTTTTGAAATCAAACTCTTAGAGTTCCTCTAATGGAGTTTAGGGTTTTGGAGAAGAAAGAGGGTTTTGTTGTTTTCAAGGGAAAGTAAAGTGAAATAGATCTATATCCTATCAATTTTCCTTTTCAAATTCGAATTTTGATTGAAAACCGGTTTAAGTTGGTTTAGAATTGGTTAAAACCGGTTTGAATTAAATGAAAAGGGGACTTACCTTGGCCAAGAAAATTTTGGCCGATGGCCGATGGGTTTATCGCGGTCGAGCGATTTGGTCGGCCAAATTTTGTTTTGGCCGAGAGATTTCGGCCGAGGCCGATCGATGTTTCCCGGATCGACCGGCACGGTCGGTCCGTTCCGATACGAAAATTTCGGCCGATCGCGGCTCGTTTCTTCCCGGTTCGTGCGTGCCGCGTGAACGGTTTCTGTCGCGCAATTAGAGTAAACTCGGCCGAGCACGAGCTATTCTTTCCCGGCTCGACCGTGACGGTCGGCCAAAATGAGAATTGCTCGGCCAAAATTACTTTTGCGCGTCCGCGGCCAATGTTTTGGCGCGGATTGTGTTTCACACCTTTTTCTCCTTCTATCCTATCTCAAAACAAAGAAAACACAAAAGCAAAACAAAAACTAAGAAAATTAAAGAAAGAAAAGTAAAAGTACCTCATGGGTTGCCTCCCATGTAGCGCTTGTTTTAAGTCTTTAGCTTGACTGTAAGGCTTGGCACTTAGGAGAAGATAGAGACAAGAGGCATCCTTGATCCTCCAAGTCTTTTCTCCTTGCAATGAGTATCTGGTGGGTGATTCACAGCTGGATAGACAATCTCTCCATGAATGTCCCTTGGCACTACTGCCTTAGGAAAAAGCTTTAGAGTTCTTGTCACTTTCTCCTTGAATCCTTCTAGATTCTCATCAATAAGCTCCTCTGGGAATAGAAGCTTCATGTTGCGGCCAGACCTAGGCTTCTAACCTTCTTTCTTGGCTTGGCCTCATCTTCAATCTTGGTTGATCCCTTGGGCGGTTTTGGTGTAGGGGCCTTAGTCTTACTCCTTGCTTGTTTGGCAAGCTGCTTGGGCTTAGGAATGGGATCTTCCTTGATTGTTTCTTCAGTTTCTCCTTCTTGGGGTGGCTTCAAAGTAACTTTCTCCTCTTGGACCATGTCAACAAAAGAGTTCTTTGTTGAACACATAGGGAAGAACATACCCTTGTTCACCTTGTTGAAAGAGATTCTTTGATTGGGGAAATCAAATATGGCACCCACAGTAGACAGGAAAGGGGTTCCAAATATGAGAGGTCTATGGCTACTCTCTCTCATTTCCACAATCTGGAAATCAGTAGGGATAGAGCAATTTCCAATCTGCACCATCACATTAGGCACAAAGCCATAGGGGGTTTGTGAGAATGAATCAGCATAGTTGATGGAGATGGATGATGGCTCTATCTTGGTGAGGCCTATCTTGTCAGCTATCCTCATTGGCTCCTGTGTCACACAAAGATTGCTCAAGAATGTTACCTTTGATGATACAAGGCACAACAAACTTTCCTGAGTTATCTGTCTTGGGGATAATCTTTGGGAAGAGTCTTCTCTTTCTAGCTCGATTGGACTCTCTCTCTGGGTAATTCTCTTCAGGCCAAATCATGCAATCAACAGTAGGTTTTGAAAGCATCCATTCTGGAACTTGGTCTTCAAATCTTTCTTCTATGGCGGCTGAGTTGCAAAAGGACTTCTTGGATTCAGCTTCCTGTCTCTTAACAGCTTCCATAGTTTGTGTGACTTGAGTCTCTAGTTTCTTCACATGAGTGGCAACAGCATCATACTTGGTGTTGAGATTGCTGAACAAAGTGTCCATCTTCTCATACATCTCTTTAGTGTTTCTCTTCTGGCCATCCATGATCTGTTGGAGGATTCCTTCAAATCTCCCACCTTGTTGGTTTGGAGGAGCTTGATTTGGTGAAGAAGCATAAGGCTCCTTAGGTGGATATGATGATCTCTGCTCATATCCTTGCCTTGGCTGAAACTGACTTCCTTGAGATTGGTAAGGAGGTCTTTGTTGTTGTGGATACCTTGGAGGATACACTTGGTCTTGAGGATTCTCCACATTGGGGTTTCTATAAGACTTGTTGTGTGATACCCCGTATCAAGACCTAAAACATCCCAAAGGCCGGGATGGGAAGATCAACACTCTGGGATTGGAAGACAAAGACGTGGGATCTAATCCAGAGATCACAACGAAGACTTGGATCAAGACAGGATCAAGAACGATCGAGCAGAACTGAAGATACAACAAGATTGTCCAGGTGGGACGATCATTGTACGAACATGGGAAGAGCCGACCGGACGGCTAAATATCAAAGTTCTCCAAATCAAGAAGAGAAGAGTCTGGAAGACATAAGAGACCATTCTAAGAAGTTTGGTCGAAGCAGAATGCAAATCGGACGAGCAGATTGAGAGATGGGATGGACGCCCAAGATCTATCGCGCAACGACTGCAAGAAACGTAAATGTTCAGGATGGAGGTATTCCGCACATTTCCAAGCAACTATGTGGAAGCTCAGAAACATGGAAATGAGAGAAGGATTAAAATAGGAGATTTTAATTCTCAAGCACGACGGGGACGAAACCCTCCAGACAGGGAAACGTACGAAACCCTCTGGACGAGGAAACGTACATTTGGAGCAATCTTGTTCTAAGCCAACCAAGTGGTGACACCAGCTACTTGGAGAAGATAAGGATGATCATAACCAATATGGAGAAGACATGCAGCTACTCAGATGGAGCCAAAACCATTCAGCCAATCATGTAGCAACATCCAGCTACCGAATGAAGACGAAGCAAGCCTAAGCCAATTGGGCAACGACACCAGCTGCTAAAGAGGAGAGAGGGCGTGGATAAGCTCCAAGAAGATCTAATGCTATCAGGGAGAGACACCCAGCTGCTCATGAGAGACAAGAATCGTCCAAACCAATCAGACGAGACATTGAGGTGATAAATGGAGACGAAATGACTTGGACGAATCAGGATGCAACACCAACTACTGAGAGAGAGTATAAGCTTCAGGAGTGGATGAGAAGCAAGTGGAGAGATGCAGAAACGGATTGGATCAAGAGCTGACCAATCAGACAGAAGCACCCAGCATCTTAATGGATAAGATGGGTTATATCCAATGGCACGACTACACCACATGCTTAGGGGAAGTCGGCCTATTGGATGAGCATTGAGAGGGGATAGGAATGACGTGTGTCATGTCCTGAGACGCCCTAGAGGCCACCAATCAAAGCTACCTAGCCTAGACCGCCTGGATGTCGCGTTCTGAGGCAGTGTAGGTCGCCACCAAGCAAAGCTATGCTAGACCTAGGTCTCCATGTGTCTGCGCATGACTGGAGACGTCCCAAGAAGCCAGGCAGCCTCCTGAACTCCTATAAATACGCTCCTCCACCCCAAGTCCAAACCATTCCATTCCCAAAGCTAGAGAGCACCTGAAAAGTGATTAGAGAGTAATTAAGAAAGTTTTCTTAATTAAGTGAGGTTAGTGGAAGATTAGAGTAGGTCAAGATCAAAGCTTAAGGAAAGCTAGGAGGATCTTGAAGTCTTCTTAAAGTGGTGAGTCTTGGTGTTATAGTTTTGTTGTTTTGGATCTATTGTGTATGCAGGTTGTATGAACACCAAAGCATAGGAGATGCTTTCTGTTCATATTGGTTATTGGTTCTGTAGTATAACTCTCTAAACAATAAGGTTTAGTAAAAATTGTGGAGAGTTATGCTGCAGAAATTTATATAATGTGTTATGAGGTTGTGATGGGTAATCTTCTAGGAGAGAAGTTATGCCGTCAAATCTCTTGTGTGTTTATATGCAGGTTTGCATTGTTGTGAGGTTGTGACGGGTAATCTTCTAGGGAGAGAAGTTATGCCGCCAGATCTCTTGTGTTGTGAGGTTGTGTGGGTAACCTTCGGGAAGGATATGCCAACAGATCTCTTTTCTGTGTAAGATTGTGATGGGTAACCTTCGGGGAAGGTTATGCCGTCAGATCTTGTTAGTGTAGATGCATATCTATACATTAGGTGATGTGAGATTGTGGATGGCTATGCCGCCAAATCTCATAGATGCATCGGTTGTGGGGTTATAGCATGGCTATGCCGCTAAACCTCGAGTGCATGCTAACATGGTGGTGCGTAAGGCCCATATGTTGAGTATGACTCCGATGTGGAAAGATCACGGACGGCTGAGCCGCCAGATCTTTCGAGGTTCGTGTGGGTACTCTTCCGAGGCAAGGGAAGCTCTGCCGCAGAACCGGTGGTATGAGGCATAGTGGTGCGTAAAGGCCCATATGCTAAGTACTGAGAACATGTGGCGTGTCTAACCACATGTTGTCTAGGAAGGTGTAGTCAAGCGCATTCTCGCACGTCAGAGCCCAACCGGATTGGCAGCGTGGAGGCTGTGCATGAAGGGAGGAAGACTCGGAGGATAACCTGGTCAGCTGCCTTGGCCGAGTATGGTACCATATGACGATATGGGATCCAACCAGACATTGGCATGGTGCGCCAGTAAGGCCAATAGATGGAAGGATGAACCGGGTACCGCGATGGACTGTAGTGCCCGGGTGAAGGCGTTCATCTAGTTTCTGTGTGATTCCGGATGAGCGTGAACCTTCACAGGCGTGGGCAGAGAATGTGGCTAATGCACCTAGGCGCCTTATTGCATATAGAAAACAAGTATTAGATACTTGTCTAGGTTTGCATGGGCATTGCATATAGATTGCTTGTTTGTATGTTGTTATAGTCTTGGATTGATCGTACCTGTTCTTGTTTGATTGGGGTACGGTTAGTCTTAAGGCTATAGCATCATTATTGTGTGTGATTGCATATGTTGTGTTGTGCTAACCTCAATGCAGGTGAAGGCGGGGCTCTTATCCCGCGGCGTTTGTGTTTGGAGTTTAGGGAATCCCCCTTGTATAGAGGTCCTAGACTCACTGAGTAATATTAGATTACTCATTCCTTTTGTTTAATGTTTTCAGGTGACCGTAGAGGTGTGAAGTAGAGCGGACCGCTGCAGGCAGTAGGCGCCAGAATAGTTTTGTGGTATGTTTTTGTAAAATTATGGTTTGTTGTTTGGTTTGGAACTAAGGATCGATCCGCATGTTTTTAAGTCGGATTTTGTAAGCACTCTGATATTTTAATAAAGGAAAGTTTTATGTAAAGACCTTATGTTCCAATGATATTAGCTTGGTCCGGGCTAACACAACTCCTGACCGAAGTACGGGTTGGCAAGCCTTAGGCTTTGGTCAAGAGGGTCGAGTTCGCGGGACGGGCTGACCTGGGCTCTGATTTGTTCTTAGTCTGGGATGGCCTATTCGGCGAACATCGACATTTTGTGGCGCTTCTCGGAACGTCTGTGCCTAGGACGGTTCGGGGGTGTTACAAATGGTGGTATCAGAGCATGGTTCATGATCATGCTCGGGAACAAGGATTTTTAAAACGTTTTATCGAGTCAAAAAGGAGTCGCAAAAACTACCTTAGGTAATCTGGTCTGTCTGCAGCATATAGGTAGAATGTTTAGGTTGTGGTTAAGCATTGCTTGATGTTGCTTATAATTTCTGATTGATCATGCATGTTCTTGTTTGATTGTTGCATGGTCAGTATAGAGGTTATGGTAACATTGTGCAATGTGGTAAGCCATGTTTGAGGTGTCTATGGGTGTTGATCATCCATAGAATAGATGGATGCGGATCATCCATGGGATAGATTGTGTTGAATAGGAACCCTAATGTTTGCTTTGTGGTGATAGCTTGAAGTCATGAGTGACTGGTTTGTGGATGATGAGGGGTCGTGGTTTAGTACTGGGCAAGAGTGGACAGTGGAGTCTGGATCGTCGAGCTCAGAACCGTCGAGCAATTCGGAGCACTGGATCGTAGTGACGGACTTGGAACAGCAGACACTAACAGATCATGATAGCAGCAGTGATTGGGACGAGGACGTATATCTTATGCCGAGAGACAACGTGCAGCCCAGCACAATGGTGAATGAGTATGCGAACACATGACTTGGCCAGTACATTACCCTGAGGAGGAGAGAGTAGTGCCATCTACTCAGATCATAGAGATCAGTTCAGGCGAGACTACACCAAACTCTTGGGATAGAGATAGTCCACCAAGTGTTCTACCGCATATACCAATGCCGCATGTATTTGCACCGGGAGGTGGAGTATACCCGTACATGCCAACGGAGGATAATCCAACGGACTACGTGTACCCGTTCATTACCACTGGCGTAGAAAGCAATGATCCAGCCGTTGCAGTTCAAGTCAATAGTGAAGTCTTCACAAACCAACCTGAAGAACCGGATACGCCGGAACCAACATGGGAGGATTATCTTGGACACCAGAACGTATCACCCACGTACTGGACAAGGAAACTCAACGAGATCGCTGGATACACATCATCAATGGAGCATGGAGAAGGAAGCATACCTCAAGATCAAGGAGAAGCTAATGCAATGTGGTGTACAATGTATGGAGAACAAGATGCACCAAACTCGGTGGCAGGCAATGAATATCAAATACCGGATCTTAACCAAACCACGGAGGAAGGTACCGGAGAGAATGAATGGCCACAAGATGATGAAGGTCTTAACCTAGCAAGAAGGTGGGATGAGATAATCGCCACAGAATTGGAGAATCTCAGAACAGAGGGTAATGGCCAAGAGCAAATGTGTCACGCCAAAGGGGAAGGCCTCCCAGAAGACTGCGAGGATGAGAGTCCCAGCACCGTCTCAAGTCACGCTACCATGCGATCAATGTGGAAGGACGGGACATCATAGCCGAGCATGTCCCAATGTGCGAGCTAGATCAAGGATGAATGAAAGGCAGAACATTTGCCTTACTTGTGGAGAGAAAGGACATTTCTCAGCAGACTGTCCAAGGAACTGCCCCAGTACTAGTCAACCCACCCGCTCAACCACAAGGAGAGAGAGGCGACCAGGGAGTGGAAGCCGTAGAATGTAAGATAGAGTCTAGGAACCCTAAACCACATGCCGAGAAAAGGTATTTTTCGGGTTCTAACTCAATCTTTGAATGGTTTATTTTCTTGCTTGCTTGGTATAGTAAGTAGGATTGTTTGGTGGTTTAAGTTGAGTTTGGTAGAGACATCGTTTAGGAAACCCATGTTTTGGGAAACGATGTGGTGAAAGGAGATTCCGATGTTTCTATTTCCAGGGGGAAATGAAACTAGAGCGGATATCCTTGGAACCAAGTTGGTTCTGGTAAAGTAGTTTTGGGTATTAGCACATCGAGTAGGAACCCTTAAAGGGAAGCGATGTGTTAATAGAAGGAAATTCCGTGAATGCTGTTTCCAAGAGGGAAATAAAGCTAGGACGGAAATCCTTGAGTAAGAGGTTAGGTGGTTAGCGAAGTTAGGAGAACCTCGCTAGAGTGGTCAGACCGGGATCAAGACCAACAGGGAAGTGTTGGTTAAGGTACGGTTTTGACATTAGATAACCCATAGTTAAAGCCGGGATGGATGGTTATGGGAATGGAGATTTGAGCAAGGAGGATCAGAGGAGATCAGTGGAAGAGGAGTCTGCAAGGGGACAACGTGAAGACAGAGTAAGAGGAGGCAAGGCATCTTCAAAGATGGGAGAGACACCGGAACAATGGAACGTTCCTACTCTCTACAACTGGAATTCGGGGACGAATTCTATTAAGGGGGGGAGAATGTGATACCCCGTATCAAGACCTAAAACATCCCAAAGGCCGGGATGGGAAGATCAACACTCTGGGATTGGAAGACAAAGACGTGGGATCTAATCCAGAGATCACAACGAAGACTTGGATCAAGACAGGATCAAGAACGATCGAGCAGAACTGAAGATACAACAAGATTGTCCAGGTGGGACGATCATTGTACGAACATGGGAAGAGCCGACCGGACGGCTAAATATCAAAGTTCTCCAAATCAAGAAGAGAAGAGTCTGGAAGACATAAGAGATCATTCTAAGAAGTTTGGTCGAAGCAGAATGCAAATCGGACGAGCAGATTGAGAGATGGGATGGACGCCCAAGATCTATCGCGCAACGACTGCAAGAAACGTAAATGTTCGGGATGGAGGTATTCCGCACATTTCCAAGCAACTATGTGGAAGCTCAGAAACATGGAAATGAGAGAAGGATTAAAATAGGAGATTTTAATTCTCAAGCACGACGGGGACGAAACCCTCCAGACAGGGAAACGTACGAAACCCTCTGGACGAGGAAACGTACATTTGGAGCAATCTTGTTCTAAGCCAACCAAGTGGTGACACCAGCTACTTGGAGAAGATAAGGATGATCATAACCAATATGGAGAAGACATGCAGCTACTCAGATGGAGCCAAAACCATTCAGCCAATCATGTAGCAACATCCAGCTACCGAATGAAGACGAAGCAAGCCTAAGCCAATTGGGCAACGACACCAGCTGCTAAAGAGGAGAGAGGGCGTGGATAAGCTCCAAGAAGACCTAATGCTATCAGGGAGAGACACCCAGCTGCTCATGAGAGACAAGAATCGTCCAAACCAATCAGACGGAGACATTGAGGTGATAAATGGAGACGAAATTGACTTGGACGAATCAGGATGCAACACCAACTACTGAGAGAGAGTATAAGCTTCAGGAGTGGATGAGAAGCAAGTGGAGAGATGCAGAAACGGATTGGATCAAGAGCTGACCAATCAGACAGAAGCACCCAGCATCTTAATGGATAAGATGGGTTATATCCAATGGCACGACTACACCACATGCTTAGGGGAAGTCGGCCTATTGGATGAGCATTGAGAGGGGATAGGAATGACGTGTGTCATGTCCTGAGACGCCCTAGAGGCCACCAATCAAAGCTACCTAGCCTAGACCGCCTGGATGTCGCGTTCTGGGGCAGTGTAGGTCGCCACCAAGCAAAGCTATGCTAGACCTAGGTCTCCATGTGTCTGCGCATGACTGGAGACGTCCCAAGAAGCCAGGCAGCCTCCTGAACTCCTATAAATACGCTCCTCCAACCCCAAGTCCAAACCATTCCATTCCCAAAGCTAGAGAGCACCTGAAAAGTGATTAGAGAGTAATTAAGAAAGTTTTCTTAATTAAGTGAGGTTAGTGGAAGATTAGAGTAGGTCAAGATCAAAGCTTAAGGAAAGCTAGGAGGATCTTGAAGTCTTCTTAAAGTGGTGAGTCTTGGTGTTATAGTTTTGTTGTTTTGGATCTATACATGTGTATGCAGGTTGTATGAACACCAAAGCATAGGAGATGCTTTCTGTTCATATTGGTTATTGGTTCTGTAGTATAACTCTCTAAACAATAAGGTTTAGTAGAAATTGTGGAGAGTTATGCTGCAGAAATTGTATATAATGTGTTATG